GCTCGAGTTTTCGACGAACCCTCACTTCTTGAACTCTTGCTTGTGAACGGACGGCAAATGAGAAACAAAATGATTGGGAAGTTGAACTGAGAACGGGCAATCAAGAGGCGAGATTAATCACACAAACGGGTCTTGTGATGAAAACAATTTTTTTCTCCTCGTGATCTCTTTGTATTTTAACATGTTTACGGTTTATGCTCTTTTCGACTATAATAGGAGAGCTTTGAAGGTTGCATAATCGTTTAGTGTTTTAAAGATTTATGGTTTTTTGTTCATGCACAACTTTACCTGGTTTCCACCAACGAATCAAATTTACTGGTCTCTGAACAGGTTACTACCGTCAAGTAATTATTGTACAAGTATCCATATATAAACACATTTTCCCCCTTTTTTTCTCCCCTCTTTTTCATTATGATAGTATTCCTTAAGTTATTTCACAATGGCTGCTATAGATTTAGGTTTACAGAAGTTTTAATTTTAGGTTTTGAATAGCTTATGTGTAATTGGTGGTGCGGAGTGTACAAGTGGCTAAACAGTTTGAAAGTATGAGTTATTGTAAATTCAGTCTTATATTTTTGGTTTAGTTAGTATTTACAATTTACATTTATATTTAATAGTACCACTTTTGACTACTATTAGGGATGTCTGAAAAAAAATATATAATACAAAAAAAGTAATTTAACCAAAAGGGAATTTGTTAGATTAGGTATTATGTGTCATTATCTATCAAATAAGCATTCTTTGCTGTCTCCATATGGTATATAACTATATATATCTGATTTGGCCTGGTTTACATAATTCAGTGATTTATTTTACATGTACGAACTGAAGAGGGAGAGGGCTGGCTTGTGCTGCATAAAATTCAAGAGTAAAAGTCTGAAAGTCGAAAAGTCTGAATTGTAGATTTAAGTGCTAGTATGAATAGGACTTTAGGAAGTCCATTTGATTTTGATTGGTGGTGAGGCATTATTAGAGTCCTTTCATTTTTCTCATATTATGCCAGGTGGCAATGTACATATAAAGAATAAAGCTTTATTATTGAAGTTATGAAGGTTGAAGTATGACAGTGAATTTAAAAGATGTGAATATGGTGACCAAGCTCTAGCCCAAACCCCTTCAGATCGGTAGGCTAAGTTGCTGTGTTTAGTTAATGGAACTATTGCTGCATGTGCCCAGTCAGCCTCCAAAGGTACAAAATCTACATGCCATTTTGTAAACCCTTAATGGATCACAATCACGTTTCACAAATAAATAGTCCAGCAACATCAACTTTTTGTGTATCCTTTCCTGTTGTTTGAGAGTGAATTGTTGATATTATTATTGTAATTATTTGATGCATTGTCCTTGTCATCGCCCACATCCTCTTGCTTATTGTCATCATTGTCATTCATTGTTAATGTTGTTGCTTTTGTTAATGTGTTATTGATGTCATCATCATTATTGTTATTATTATTATTGTTGTTGTTGTTATTATTTATTGTTACTATTACTTTTATTTATTATTACTATTGTTCTTGTTTTTGTTTTTTAATGTGTATGTTACAAAACATGCACTTCAAATGTACACTATTTCATATTTTGATTTATTCACATGTGTGATGAAATGAAGACAATAATGAAATAGTATGAAATTTGCTGGATAGCTACAGTCGGGTTTTGAAATATTAGATTCACTAAGAACAAGGAAGGGGGGGGGGGGTCACAGGTTGGTAAAGATATAGGCATTGGAGGTAAAATTAGCATGAAGAATTGTTGTTCTAGAATGCTGGTGTGATGTTTTCTCACAATCAGACTTGACAATGGGTGCAACAATACAAGATCAACAGCATGGTGATGATGTCAAGGAATAATGGAAACAGAACTACTAGTTTCAGAGGTTATTTCCAGACTTTGATGAATATATAGAGCTCTGAATAGAAAAAGATAGTTCATCTTAATTAAATTTGTTAAAATTATCAATATGACACAAAAGAGCAAGTGCCACCACTAATGAGATCAGGTTGAGAAAGAGCAATAAAAGAAATAAGTGGAAAAGCACCAGAAGAGGTTGAAATTCTAATAGATTTTGTACAAGTAGGAGGGGTGCCATCTGTTTAAAGAGGGAAGCAATTTAACAAGGTAACTGAAAGGGAATGTGTAACTGAGAAGTGGAAGAATGCCATTGATATTTAAAAAGGGATACAAGAAAGGCCCACCCAGCTACAGACAGATAGACCATGTTTATGTAAATTGTTTAGGAGGGTAGTAAAATATAGAATATCAAGCACATTAGGTGAAGGACAGAGCAAGCACCATGCAAGACAGGATATTCAACAATACACACATCACTATAAGAAAGAAAAACTATAAAATACCACTGCATGGCATTTGTAGACAATGAGGTGGTTAATTCCATCAAGCAATAGGCAGTATTCAGAGTCCTTAAAATCTCAAGGCCTACAAAACATGACAATTATATGAAGGAAACATGCAGAGAAGTTAGTCTGCGAATACAAGTGGGTCATTTGAGTAATGATATAGAAATATAAAAGTTTTAGATAGGGAGAAACTCATCATTTCTATTCCTGGCTTCTTGAATAAATCTTTAGAAGAGCTAGACTGAACCATGGAATGTTAACTTAAAGATTTGTGGACCACACAATCATCTTAGCCAATAAAAGAGAAAAACTTGAAGAAATGGGAATATCTTTGAATGAGGAAGTCGAGAAGGATAATATGAAAATAGAACAGAATAGGATAGACATGAAATTTAAATAAGTATTGATTATTGGAGGACAGAGTTGAGGGAATACAAATAACTTTAAAAGTTACTTAATCAGAGAACAAGGATGGAAACAAACAAATTGGTGAATTACATATGGATGAAAATTACATCAATTTTATGACATCTATTTGCCTGAACAAGCAAAATAATGAATGTAGGCATTCTGCCATCTATGAGATATGGAGCAAAAACTGAAGCGGTTGACAAAGACACGAGGAAAAGCTACCAGTGGTTCAAAGAAATATGGAAAGAACAGTGACTGGAGTTTCAAGACGAGAGAGCACCAAAATTGATGATATTAATAACACTGAAAAGCTGTTGGGAAAGTAGACAGGGTTCTTGGCCAAAATGAAACCTTTTAGATAGGCAAAGAAATTAACAGAGTGGATGCCAAGATGGACAAAGGTCAAGGGGAAAGACATAAAATGATGGCAAGAGGCTAAAAGGGAGCTGACAATAGCCGGATGAGATGGATTCAGAACAAACAATTGGAAGGGTTTGTAGAGGCCACCTACCTCTTTCATTGAAATCAGTGGAAACTGGTCACTAGGTGCATTATTAATTTCTTTTTTTCAAAAGGAGGTCACATGAAGAGAGAGTCATTCTGTATTTGAAAAACTAGAAATTTCTGTTGGAGCAACAAATTTGAATATTATAATGTCTCTTTGGTGAAATCATTGATCCTTATAAAGATATTTTGTTTGTAACATAGGCCAAAGATATTGTTTTGTATATCGGATTATTTATGAGATATGGCATAATAGGCCCCAGTTACACTTGTTAAGACAATGGTAAACGTGAACTGTGTTCATTGCAACAAATGTAGAAAAGGTATGAAAGACAATGAATATCTTCACAGTGCAAGATATGTATTTGACTGGTTTTGATTATATCTCCATCATCGTCATTCATAGCTTTTCTACAGTGGTAAGCATTCTGGAACTGTCTATCCAGTACGTGTGTGGGGTGCAAGTATTTGCTACTTCTCTATTAGGAAGCATTTTCATCCGTGAAATCAGAAAATGGAAACATTTTTAGCTGTTAAATAAAGCAAAATGAATAGATTGACTGATAAAGTGAAATAGGTTAATACTGCATTGCAAATAGATAAACTCTTGTATGATTTTGCCGAGTGTTGGACTACTAAAAAATGTTTATTGGTTTTCATACTTGAGAATCATTCTGTTTGTATGTAGTGTTAAGGTATATCTGAATTGAGTAATTAATCAATTACAGTTTTACCTAAAATGTGTAAATTATATGCTCCTTCTGAAGATTGGCATGTGGGGAGCAGCAAGAAATCCAAAAATGAAACGGATCATTATTTAAATCTGAAGGTATTTTAATGCTAAAGTGAAGATACTTATTTTCTATAAAACTTCTGTAGTGTAGTCTGAAAGAATTGAGACTACAGCACAAAAATCAAAAGAAAGCCCCATGTTAAATCTGACTACGAATGTGCTTCCAGATGTACCGTTCTTTGTGTGTAATAAAAGCCTTTTGCAATGGTAACACGGCAACTCTTCAGTTTGAACTTCATTGCCAGGCAATTAAATCTGGTAAGTATGGGGGCAAGAAGCAGTAATTATGTTGGCCCATAGGTAGCTGCATTGTCATGAAAAATACATCATTATTATCATGTTGCAATTCAAGTTGTGTATTCTGCAGATTATCTTCCCTCTGCTGCTTCAGAATGTTACAGTAGACAAGGTATTGAACAGTCCAACCATATTTACATCAAGGGGATGTTCTTGTGAATGAAATGTGAGTGTGAGGTAGTAACTCCTAAGCTCCATGGCATGTTTTATCGAGCCAAACCATACAGATCTCGTCCCCTCCACACACCATACTAGTATATATCAGTTACTTCCTGGTATATATGATTTTATACTATTCATACTTCTTGATAATTATAGATACATGTAAATATAAATTTGCTGAAAATATGATCTTATTTTTCATATTCATATTAGGCAATATATCCCCAAGATTTTTACTTCTTATTAGATACAGTCTTGGAACAATGTGATTGTCTCATACCTTATAATAATTTTACACTGTGTAACCTGTGATGCATAGGTCACATAGTGGATGTTAAGAAAATTGCCAAGCATTCCCACTACCAATAAGCAATCATCCCTTGTAAGAGAATATATTTTCTTTTGTCTTGCACACCATACATGCCTGTGAGTCCTTCAAGCTATAGTTCTTCAGGGGGACGAAATAAGTGAAGATGATAAGTCATATGGCATTTATTCTTTGATGAGGTAACATATTTACATACATTTACAAAAAGATGGATCTGTCCAGCAGAATGTTATTTTTGTAAGATCACTGTCATCTTCAAGAGAAGCAGATAATATAACTAACTTTTACAGGCATTACAAGCGAGGGGAAAAGAGATCGTAACTAGGCTATCGTTGCAGCGAGAAATTTGTTAATAACGTGTGCAACACAGCAATGGTCAATGAGTGATATAATATGAACTGAATGGAATTATTCTGATGAAAATGCAAAATACAGTGTCAACTATATGATTGCGAATGCTAACTATTATCCGTTAATCCTAACAGGTTTCTAAAGACAATAGTTTATAAAAGTGCCTACAGAAAAAGGAGTCTCAACAATATTAAAACTAGAGCAATTGAAAAACCTTATTTTCTTGTTATCTGTATAAATTTTTATACTAACAAAAAGAATAAATAACATGTTTGGTGTTGTGTAAACACTACAACAGACATATCTTAAAAACTTATTACAAAGAAGTAGTTCCAGACCAGATTACATGAGAACATAGCAATGGAAGTCTAGCTGCAAATGTTAACAATAAGGTCTGTTCATTTCTACATACTGGTATCACAGTGATCTGCCGTGCACAGCATAGCAGTACCCTTATATCATGTTCGAGTGAATCCAGGGCAAGAATTCTGTAAGTCTTGTGTAGACGCCCGGATGCCCCGGTTCGGCGCAACGAATGGCAAAGGAAACGATGCCAATTTGAATCCAGTTTCCATCGATGTAGAGCTGCAGAGGGCCACCGCTGTCACCCTGGTCAACGATATGAGGATTTTTTTCATATTTTTTACGCTTCGTGAATCATAGTAAATACCAAAGATTGTGATATATTCAGTATCTGAATATGACCAAAAAGCTAGCAAAGTTTGGATTAGCAGAACGCTAGATATTCAACATGATAACGAAGAATAAAATGAAATATATAAATCATGCACAAAATATCCATATTATACTCACACGAACTAAGAAACCAGAAAAAAAAACATAAAACACGAAACCTCTTCAACAAGCGCCCTTACCTGGCAGGCATCTCTCCCTCCCTCCGTGAAGCCAGCGCAGACGAAGGCCTCAGTGATGGGCTGCGTGTAGGCGTTGTCACAGTCGCTGTTCGACCAGACTGGGACCTGGGTTTCGCGCAAGACGGCACTCTCGTGGCCACCTGCACAGGGGAGGGCGAAGACAAGGTTATACTCCTGTTTTATTTTTGTATGATTTTTTTATTTTTTATTTACGCATACATACATACATACATACATACATACATACATACATACATACATACATACATACATACATACATACATACATACATACATACATACATACATACATACATACATACATACATACATACATACATACATACATACATACATACATACATACATACATACATACATACATACATACATACATACATACATACATACATACATACATACATACATACATACATACATACATACATACATACATACATACATACATACATACATACATACATACATACATACATACATACATACATACATACATACATACATACATACATACATACATACATACATACATACATACATACATACATACATACATACATACATACATACATACATACATACATACATACATACATACATACATACATACATACATACATACATACATACATACATACATACATACATACATACATACATACATACATACATACATACATACATACATACATACATACATACATACATACATACATACATACATACATACATACATACATACATACATACATACATACATACATACATACATACATACATACATACATACATACATACATACATACATACATACATACATACATACATACATACATACATACATACATACATACATACATACATACATACATACATACATACATACATACATACATACATACATACATACATACATACATACATACATACATACATACATACATACATACATACATACATACATACATACATACATACATACATACATACATACATACATACATACATACATACATACATACATACATACATACATACATACATACATACATACATACATACATACATACATACATACATACATACATACATACATACATACATACATACATACATACATACATACATACATACATACATACATACATACATACATACATACATACATACATACATACATACATACATACATACATACATACATACATACATACATACATACATACATACATACATACATACATACATACATACATACATACATACATACATACATACATACATACATACATACATACATACATACATACATACATACATACATACATACATACATACATACATACATACATACATACATACATACATACATACATACATACATACATACATACATACATACATACATACATACATACATACATACATACATACATACATACATACATACATACATACATACATACATACATACATACATACATACATACATACATACATACATACATACATACATACATACATACATACATACATACATACATACATACATACATACATACATACATACATACATACATACATACATACATACATACATACATACATACATACATACATACATACATACATACATACATACATACATACATACATACATACATACATACATACATACATACATACATACATACATACATACATACATACATACATACATACATACATACATACATACATACATACATACATACATACATACATACATACATACATACATACATACATACATACATACATACATACATACATACATACATACATACATACATACATACATACATACATACATACATACATACATACATACATACATACATACATACATACATACATACATACACATACAAAACACACACACACATATACATATACATACATACATACATACATACATACACACACACACACACACACACACACACACACACACACACACACACACACACACACACACACATTCAATATCCAGAAGGAACCCAACGACAAACGAGCGTCGCTTTGCCTTGCCTTACATACATACACACACACACACACACACACACACACACACACACACACACACACACACACACACACACACACACACACACACACACACACACACACACACACATTCAATATCCAGAAGGAACCCAACGACAAACGAGCGTCGTTCCCTCCCCCACCCCCCGGACCGCGTGAGCCCGCAGCCTCCACCTACCGTAGCTTGTGGAGCCCCAGCCGATGACCGTGGGCGTCTGGCCCACCATGTGGTCCAAGGGCTGCCGCGCCATGGCCGTCGACGGGAGGCACACGGGCAGGATGTACTCCGTGAAGTCGACGGGGCGGTCGAGCTTCAGGAGCGCCACGTCGTTGTAGAAGCCGTGGGACTTGAATTCTGGGTGAGGCCGGATGGACAGGACCCTGGGGGGAGGAGACGGGGTGATGGGGAGAGGAACAGGGGTGATGGGGAGAGATGGGGTGATGGGGAGAGATGGGGAGAGGGTGCGAACTGTTCTTGTCTTGCCTAGCCCTAGTCTGCTGCACTTTACCTTAATTTATCTGAGTTAGCTTTGCCTTGCCTAACCCTACTCTGCTTCGCATTAATGTACCTTAATTTACCTTGCTTTGCCTTGCCTAACCCTCTCCTTAACCTAAACCTAACACTTCCAAGTAGGATGCGAGCTCTAATCCTGCTCATACCCTATTCCTAATCTTTGCCCTAACTTAAACCCTAACCCAAACCCTGCCTAATCCTATATGTATTTTAGTTTCCCTGTTAAATCGCCTTCGTTAAAGTAATTTTGTATAGATTGTTATTGGATTTTGACTGTCTATTGCACATATTCATGATATTGTTAGTTCGATCTTATATCTATAAAGATATCTTTCATTTTGGACTGAAACAATCTAATGCAATAAAAAGGGATTTTCAAAATAGTCAATTTACACCAAGCTATAACAAAAATAAAGATTCATAAATCAAGTATAACGAAGTTACTCCTATCTGTCGATAAATAATATTATTAAAACGTGAAACTATTTTGGGATCACACAAATGGGATCTGCATAGGACTGAGTGACTGACCCAGGTAACAAGTGCGGTAGTGATTTCTTTACCTGTATGTCTGTGGGTTGGAAATGAAGTCATCACTCTCACTGAAGATGTTGTGGTCTCCAAGACGCACGCTAAACTGCTGGGCATCAAATCTGTAATCCAAAAAGGCAGTAATGTGTGAAGGGATGTAATGAATGACAAGTACAGTCAAAGCCAAAAGGTCTTGTCAAAACAAGCTTCGAATTCCGTCTCGAACACTCGTATAATGTGCTTGGTTGTTTTACGATGGAGGATATCGAAGCTTCATTCACGGCACGATTCTTGTCCATGGCTACAGTGAGCTAATTACTTTTCAAATAACTAAGACTCCTCTCAAATGGGAATACCAAGAGGATGCCCCCACCGAAATATGCATATGATTTACTGGACCTTATAATCGTGGTTCATTTTTATTAGAATGACTATGTTTTATGGTTGTTTAAATTAATCATAATACTAAGCAATGTATGGAAGGACCTCGATAGATTCCTGTTGTGGTGTGAATATAAAGCAAGAGAAAGGCAGGGATACATAACCATAGCACAGGGGACAGGGGACGGTAACAAACTTGGGCACAAAAGCAAGACACGCAAATCCACTTGAACACAGCAACAACAAAAATCTCTTCATACTGGAAACCCCTTTGAGATTTCCCCACAAGAGACCCTGAACTCACGTCTTTCCCCGCGTGTCCTTGGTGCAGTGAGCGGCGGTGAGGACGTACTGCTTCGAGATGAGAGATCCTCCGCACCAGAACACCGTCTTCTTGGGCCCGTGCAACCAGACGGCTGCGATCCAGGGCCACTGGCCTCTTCGGGATTCGGCGCCGCCAACCACGCGGAAGGTCGGGATCTTCGGCTGCCCGCATTCTGGAGGGCGGGGAGGGGAAGAGGAGGAAGGATCAGGGGGAAGAAGGACGAGAGAAGGAGAATGTAAGGTGAGTGATAGTGGAACGTGTAAACATCATGTCACACCTGATTTTTCACGATATTTTTTAGTATGTTTTGTAATATAATTTGCTTTGCCAATGGAAGAGTTCCTACTAGCATGTATGCCTATAAAAGGAAAAAAATCTTACCAAAGTTAGACTGCGCGACCTCTGCTATAGGTTGTATGGGAAGTGGGCGAGGTGAGGTTCCAGGTACCTGCAGGCAGAGCTCACTTTTAACAATGTTACCAAGTTACCATGTGGCAAATAACTTGATTGAATGCAAGATGCAGATAATGCTGTGGTAGTGGCGTGTTAGATAATGAAGTGGTTCTTCACAAAAAAG